TTCCCATGTTTCGTCAAAAGTTCGAAACTTTCGTAAGTTTACGCGATTACGTACGAATACGAAGGTTGACATGAATTGCCTATATCACTTATAAACATTCCGTGTCATGTTTCACAAAAAAAAATCTAGTACTTAAAAATGTTATTATTATATTCTGGGTGGTACTTGATGTATGTATCGTTTTTTGTAAATTACCTGGTTACAAAAATTAGCGTGCTGCTTTTTTTCAAGTTTTATTCATTGTACTGTACTTGTATGTGATTTCGATGTGACCGTCTACCTAAGGAAGAATAGTTTGTCACAATACATATTTGTAAATTCATCAAAATGACGTACAAATCCGACAAAATTTTCGTTTTTGAATTTAATTAATCCAACAAGTACACTAAAAATAAGTTAGTGACAAAATCGTCACCACGTGTAATCACTATAAAGTTCTGGTAAAGATTTGTCACCGAAAGGTAGATAACAATAATTTCCGTAAGATTAAAAATTTTACCAAGTTTTTATCAGTTTCTCACCGGTGATCATTTTGTTAGACAACATATCAGTCGAAAAGACATCTGCAATTATTAAGAATAGTACATAATCTATTTAAATTCGTCTAAATGGCATGCAAACCCTGTTAAAATTGTTATCTTAGGACTTAGCAAACGACTGAATTTTATAAGTCATTCAAATCTTGCCATTTTTTAAAAATAAGATAAGTAAAAGAAATCCCAGCAGAAATGTGTAATTATAATTGCTACTTCTCAATTTTCTAATATTTGTTTAAATTCAACTCGAAAATTACCTCGAAAATTAATTGAAATACCTATGCAAACTAATGAGAAATTTCACGTTTCTTCGTAAGTTTATGAAGATCAGCTTACGAACCAAAAAAATGCCTGTTATATTCGTAAGGTTTTGTAAATTCATACTCAAAAATTGCCTTCCGGATGAGATTCAAGTTTCGTCAAAATCTGGGTATATGTTAGGGTTTTTGGGGGTTTAGGTGGGTTTTGGGGCAGCAAATTTAAGCAATACCCACGGGTAGTCGGAGTAATCGGGGTTTTCCAATTTTGTAAAGTATGGTAACAGGGTTTTACAATTCCACAATTTAATAAATCGTTAGAATAAAATTAATTAGCAGCTTTGTTGCGAAATTGCTGAAAAAGCAGATTGTTTTCACAACTTAATGCATGAGACACTAAGTCAGTTAACCCTATTAACCCCATTATTAAACCCAGGGTAAATCCCTGGGTATGGGTTTTCAATATCAAAACCCAGTGGTTTTTCTTACCCTGGTAAAAATGTATGAGAATTTCAATCAGCCAGCTATAAATATACCCACATATAAAGAAACCTGGATTTTTCTGCGATTTCAGTCATTCAAGATTCGAGTCACATTTCGTTCATGCATGGGACACGACACAATTTCAGACGCATTTTGCCAAAATTTTGAAAACTGGTTTTTCCAACTTCTTCGGTTTTGGACCGTGTTCCGGATTTCATAAATTTATCCCCTATTTCCGACATACACAACCTGTACCCAAATTTCGTAAGAAGTGTATGGAAATTTCTTAAATCTGGCGTAAAACCCTGCAATTTTAACACACTTTTCAAGGTTTGTCTTTTTTTATCAAAAATCATCCAGAAACTATATTTAGGTCGAAAATTAAGCCAACATGTAAACTCGGGAATTGAATTCCTGAATAAATTTCGTTTTACGTATTTTGACATTACCTATATATGTAATTTCTGGTATAGAAGTATAGAATTTATGGAAGTTGAGACAAGTTTTTCAATCTGTCACAGATTTTTTACCAATTTTCATCTATTGTGCGTTTTTTATCTCAGGGTTCGATATTTGCCTCGCGCCAGTTATATTCCCACTTGATTAACACGGGAGGCGGACTGAGACCATAGTAAAAAAAATCGACCCGCTTAAGTAAAATGCACAATACCTGTATTTAACGATACTAACATAAATTTATGGTAAAATTTTAATTGTCACCAAATATCTGGTCACATCCATTTTGTACAAACCGTGGACATTTATATACACTTTTTTTACAAATTTGGAAGGAAATTTTATAAAATTCATACAGCTTACAAAAATCCGAGTGATTTGTGAAGTTGAAAATAAAATTCACTAATTTTAAAAATCTGAATATTTATATTTCAACGCATGTCTTCTTTTACTATATATACCTTAGACCTTTATATAATCATTTAAAAAAAGATAAATTAAGATAAAATCCGAGGTTTGTAACACTTACGAACCTCAGGTTTTTTCCTGTACTACAAATATTCGCTGCAAACATATCAAAATTTGTCGAACTGGCGTTCAAGTCCGACAAAATTTGAATCATTCAATTTTCAATTTAATTCCTTGTTAACTCAATTTAAAAATTATATCTGGCTTAAAAGTGAAAGGAAATATGAAATATAACTTGACACCCATGCTTCTGGAAATACGAATTGATTTGAAATTACGTGAATAATTGAAATTATCAATTTCAATAATTGATCCATCTGCGAAATTATTTAATCTGTCAGAATTTGATTGTATCATCTTTAGGCTGTACCCTGGCGCCTAAAATGCTTAATCAACCTGGTAACAAAATTGCCACCAAGGTTCGTCCCCACATTTTATCGCCTTCCCTAATATTTTCTCAACTCAAAACATTTTGGCATTTATACTTTGTAAATGTCAAGGCTATAAAATTTCCTGCATAATAAACCGATTTCTGTCAGGGCTTTAGCGTCGGAAATACATTTTAAATTTTTTTGACGAAGGAAAAAATTTAAGCAAAGATTGTAGCATCTTCTTCCTCTTTTAGCAAGTGTTCGTATCAAAAAATAAATTGTGTGCAGTGAGCATGCGAATTAATACGTAGGTATGTACATACATGTACATATACAGAACAATAGGTACATAATACTAGCAAAATTTAATTATTTAAAAAAATGTTTACTAACTTTCCGCAACACTCAAATACACATATATTTGAAAATTTATTTAATATAGTTTCAAAAAATAATGTAAATTCAAATTACTGAATATGCTTCGCATACAAAAGCGTCGTATTTGTGAAATCTGAAATTTTAATTCAGAAATTACCAGCAGATCTGACATTTTAGAACAATTCAGTTATGCTAATGCTAATTAATGCACTCTTCAAAAATACGGTACAAGCTTAAGTTTTAACCACTCATTTTTCGTACATCCTGTACATTGTGTTTCAAAAACCAGCAGAGTACGATATCTCATTCCATCAAAAATTTCCCATCAAAGTCAGATATCGTAAGTAAAAATTGGATTTTCAGAAATACTAATTGACTATTTCTATATACTAATTTCTACATACCAATATTTCTAAAAATTATCCAAAATTTTGATCAACTTGTCCATGTTCCGTAATTTTACAAATAATGCTTAAAAATAGCGTGACCATATCGCAATAAATATACTGTTAGAAATCCGGTATGGTAAGGCAGGTATTGATTTCTCGGTTAAGTTGCTACCGCTTGGTGCTAAAATTATACCTGTCCGTAAAAAAAATTGCTACTAATTTAATACCGACCCATTACAATACGGTACTGCTCATCAATACCACTTTGGTAGAGTCATCTCATACCGCTCGGAATTATTTAAGTACTGGATTTCTAACAGTGTTAAGTAGTTGTATAAAAGATTTAATTTAAAACTTCAACGCCGGAAATGATTTAATTGTCAATTTTTAAGTACTTAAAAATTTTGTAGATCAGGTACATGTGTTTCAAAAGATAAAAGTTGTCGTACGATACATTTGTCACATTTACAATGCGATGGTGTGAAGTGTAACCCTCTGATTTGGTTGAAATTTCGAAATTACGTGGTCCGTGTCAACACAACCAACGTTTCTTGAGAGGTCAGAATTTGAAAAAATATTTGAGGTCAAAGTTGAAAAATGTGCAATCTTTACCTACTGGAAGAGAATGGAAGTTGAGCTTGCTTCCTCCGCTTGGTAAAAATAGCCCATTTTTAAACTTTGTCCTCAAACATTTTGTCAAATTCTGACCCCTAAAGAAACGTTGGTTGTGTTTACACGGACCACGTAATTTCGAAATTTCAACCAAATCCGAGGGTTACACTTCACACCATCGGATTGTTAGTTGCAACCCATACCACTTGCCAAAAACTGAGCAATTTTGAATCAAGTTATCTGTTGTAAAATTGCGATGCGTACATATATTCTAAAATTATCGGAACCAACGTAAAATCTGTACAATTTTGTAATTTTTTTTTGAAAATTTAGCAAATAAATTCAGCCTTTATGACGATTTTCAGTAATTTTTTTTCAAGCATTTAGATAAGTATTTTTTTAAGAGGTAAAAAAAGGAAAAAAAAATCCGAGCTTTGTAACGATCTTACAAACCTCAGATTTTTTCCTTTTATACAAACATTTGCTACAAATATGTTACGATTTGTCTTAATGGTGTTCAAATCCGACAAAATGGGAGGATTACAATAGTCGAAATTTATTTTACATATATAACTTAATTATGAGATTCGTGTAGTTTGAGACGAATTTTTCTATCTGTCGCAGGTTTTACCTATATTGATTAAATTCCCTGTATTTAAAGATACCAAAATAATTGTATGGCAAAATTTTAATTGCGACCAAGTCAAACATTTGTACAGATCGTCGTGGACATTTATTATAATTTAGTGTAAATTTGTCAAGAAATTTTTCATATCAAATTAATATGTAATTTTGCCCCATTTTGGAAAAATTAATAGTGCACATTTGGAAATTTTACTTTCACTTCGATAAATGTATTTTATTTACTCGTAAGATTTAAATTACAATGTACAGATTTTTGACAGAATTAAAACTTAATTTCTTGGTGTCATTGTAAAATTCGAAAGTTTTGACTAATTAGGTAACACTAACAACCCGTCTGGTGTCGACATGCTGTACAGTTTTTATAGAGTTTACATAAATCTAGACATGCACGTCTAGTTTTTTTTAAGATTAATAGTACATATTTCGCACGGAAATCTGCTATATTTTACGACATAAATTATGTATAACGTATTACCGTTATTATCTGGTGGTGTTATTTTTAACACTTTTCCCAATCCAAATTTATCATATTTTTGGAAAATTAAGTTTAAAAAAAAATACAAATTGAAGACAAATGTACAGATTTACAGAGTTACAAAAACCTAGATTTCTTTGTAAAACCATTGTAAAACCCGTTAGTTTTAAAAAAACAGGTAAAGAACCGTATCAGCTTGTTTTACAAATATGAATTATTTTATAGAGTTTACACAAATCTAGGATTGTAATTTGGTTGAACTGAACCGTACCCGGGGACGGATTTGTACAAACTCTAAAATCCGGAAATTTACTTACAAATAAAAATTTTACCAGATCGTAGTTTAACGTCGATAAATATATTGTACGCATGTTAAGATTAAAATTATATTCTATAGATTGGCAATTTTGGGTGCCCGCAGTTGCATTCACCGCTTTTCAGAAGCTAATTTTATCATAATTTGGTCAGTTTTGGAAAACTAGGTAAAAAAACATGAGTTTAAGGTGAATGCACAGATTAACAGAGTTTCCTATATTACAAAAATCTTAATTTCTCGGTAAAATCCGTTGTTTTTCTTAAATAGGTAAAAACAGTTCGACATATTTTACGTATCTTGTCGAGTTTAAACAAATCTTTTCGCCCGTGGCCTGGTGCCAACGGATTGATAATTTGCATAAAATTGACACCATCTTCAGTCAATATTATTATTTGTCACCCAACGGTAACAATAGTTCAAAGAAATTCTAAATATTTATACAAAATAATTTATAACAGAAAAATGTTTCAAATTTAATTTCTATTAAAACTATTGTACCCAACTTGGTAACAAGGTTTTGAGATTTTACTGTAAATACAAAAATTTAGCTCTGACTGACCATTGTAAACCCCGAGGTACAAGCAGATTCCGTAGCCCACGCTGACTTTGACCAGGGCGTCGGGGTCTTCTGGCGTTTTTGTGATGGCGTCGTACGTGCGGCTCGAGACAACCGGCAGCTAAACTCATCACTTCCTGCCAAGGAGAACAAATATTTTTAAATATATTCAATAAAATTGAGGCAATTCGCGGAGGTCTTGGTAAGTTACTAATGGTAACTTTGTTAAATTCCTAAATTCCGTAAATTCACAAACTTTTGTAACATTTTACACGTATTTCTGAGTAAAGATTGCTTACAAATTTTTGTTACCTTACTCAGGTCAAGGGCGTCTTCTTATTTTGTAAAAGTTTAAAAAATATTTTACCAAACTTACAGATTTTACAAAGTTACAAAAGCTTGCGTGAATTGCTTTATGTAACGAATCCATGTAGTTTTGAAGAGATTACGAAGAAAATTTTCCAGCGGAAATTTCCTTGAACCTGATTTTATTTGAAATCTTATTGTAAATTGATCTATTTAACTTGCACTTCGGAAAGAAGCTTTATCTAATTGTTATAATTTATTTCGACAATTTATCTAAAACATTGTCGACGTCGAACTCCTTACAAAGCATCCAAGAGTCATCCAATTTTTGCAAGTTTACGAAACATATTTGTAACCTGAGTAATCTTTATTGTGGGTTGAAACTAAAAAAAATTAAAGAAAACTGTCAAGCAGTCCGAACCAATTAAGATTATCTTTGTGGGGGTAAATTTGGAGCAAAAGTTGTGAATTTTCCCCAGAAACGGAAAGAAATTCATGAGCCGTTTCTACGATTTGTTTATAGAAATTGTAAATAACCAATTTAACTTACAAATTAAGTAAATTAATATACATTAAAAAAATACTATTTGTCAATGTTCAAGTTTTGCATGTATATTTGCATCCGAATGGAAAAAATGCGCAGAAAATTTGCAACATCTCAAGTTTTTATATTTTAGGGGCCGTTTTCTCCTCTTTGGATGCAAATATTTCTGCCAAACGTGCCCATTTGGAGGTCGTGTCATACTTAAGAAAGTTTTATTAAATTTGTGGTTGTTTGACACTAGTTTATCGGAGAGTATACGCTGGGAGACCTCCATTATTAAGGTGGCATTGTATCCGGGTTTTGAGTTTGAATTGTTGTGTCTCACCTTTCACTCCTTCACATACACTCAAATGGCTATTTTGAAACCTATTCACCTCCGTGGGTATTTTACAATGTGAAGCTTTTAATGCCATTAAAATCGATAATTTAATTTTTAGGTTTACAAAGTTACGAACGCTGAATTTTGATTATGAAATAAATATAAAGCAGTCAAGGAAAGAGGGTAAGATTTAGCCGAAGAAGAGCTAAATTTAGCTCCGGCTTTATTTAGCCGATCCGGAGCTAGATTTAGCTCCGAAAGCTAAATCTAGCTCATCAAGCTCAATTTTGCTCTGAAAAAGAGCTAAATTTAGCTGATCCTCGGCTAAATTTAGCTTGGTCAAACTTTAAAAAGACCGACCGCCTTTATTATGCACTGACGGTTGCTTTTGTCAGTTTAGGTAAATTCAGCAGGTTTCACTTACCAAATAAGCAATGGCCCAGCTTTGTGTGATCTGGCCCACCGTGGTTACAAAAATTAAAAAGTGAAGGTTATTATAAATGCATAGTTATAGATTGAATAATTTAAATTTGGCGGAAGATTTGGAGCAAAAATTTACCCTTCGGAGCTAAATTTAGCTCCGGATCGGCTAAATAAAGCCGGAGCTAAATTTAGCTCTTCTTCGGCTAAATCTTACCCTCTTTCCTTGACTGTTAAGTGATAAAAAGAATAAGTAAAAACTAATTATTTGATATTGATTTTCTCAAGTTCAATTTTTGAGCAAATTTTCTCTTGCGTTTTCCTCCACTGGGCGAAAACCAAGGCGCTCGTGTGAACTTTGACCTCCAATATTTTTCTTCAAAGGAGCCATTCAACGGAAAAATTAGTGTCACGTGAATCCTAATTTTTGGCTTGATTTTTTGACAGTCGATCTTGGTGTAGCTGGAAAATAGGTTCCATTGTGAGTTGCAACGCATAACACATGCCAAAAACTGGAAACGTATACATATGTAGTGACGGGGAATGTATCTGTTGCAAAATTGCGATGTATATATTCTAAAATTATAGAAATCGACGTAAAATCTGTCCAATGCTATTTTGCCCGTAATTTTTTAGTTTTGAGGAAAACTTAACAAATAAATTTTACCTTAAATGACAGTTAAAATGCCATTTTTATTAATTTTTATCTACAAAGTACGCAAGAATATTACAAATGTATTAAAAAAACCTTAACCCAATTCAACAGAAATTGGAAGTGGTAATTAATTGAAATATCGCAATTATTGGAACTTTTAATCAAAATTTGGGGGATTAAAATCGCCGAAATTTTGTTGTCAAGTTTAATTTTTTTAAATCCCGCGTTGTGAGCAGTTTTTTAAGTTTTTTGCAAAACAAAGAAATTTGCTCATAGTAAATAGCCCGATATATTCATGTTCAAGACTAGAGCTACAACACCAAATCAGAGGTCGACGCTTCCGTCGATAGAATTTTACGAGCCTAATCTTCGATTTCTTTCAAATTGTCACCAGTCATTGTCATTGACGCCGGTAATAACAATTTCCGGAAAACTTGAACGCTTTTGGAAAACTCTTAACATAGTTTTAGAAACTAATTTTAAAGTATGACATGAATAAGCGTCGTATTTATGAAATCTGAATTTTTTGCAACGTCCAAATCAAAAGTAGATCATGCCTTCGAATATAAGTTATAAATTGTATTCACTCATTTTCGTGTAACTTGTGCATTATGTTAAAAAAATCAAAAATCAAGAGATTGCAATTACTTTATTTTATTAAACTTTATCTCAAAAATCCGACCGAATTGCGAAGTTCGCTGATTTTAATAATCCGAGTATCTTGATTTCTACCCATGTTTTTTTTTACTACACCGCACTCGACGTCGCCATTGTAATGACATTTTCCAAGAAATTTTTAAAACATTGTATAATGTTGTATATGTATAATGTACATAAGAATTTTTTTTTAATCCGAAATTTATAATGGTTTTTAGAAACCTCACATTTTTTTCTGTAATACAAATACTCCCTACAAATATATCAAAATTTGTCTAAATTGCGTTCAAATCCAACAAAACTATGGTTATCTAACTTTCAGCTTACTTGCTTGCCCAGAAATCAATCCTAAAATTACGTCTGGCTTGAAAACTATAGAAAATATAGTAATAAGCAATGTATTCAAATGGCGATTTTGAAATACTTTCATATACTTTCATATACTTTCATATCGTCAATAAAATTACTCACCAATCCCAAAACTTGATTATTTTTAGAAATCTAATAAACATGAGATCAATTTGCAAAGTTTTTGCAAATTTGAATCATTATTGCTCAAACTCGTTTCTAGTACTGATGTTGAGTGGGATAACACTGTATAATGTTTTATAATGTTGTTGTGTATGTATAACGTACATAAGAATTTAAAAATGAATAAAAAACCGAAATTTGTAATGAATTTTAGAAAATTCACATTTTTTTCTTTAAAAAAAACTCCGAGGTACAAGCAGACGCCGTATCCCACGCTGACTTCGACCAGGGCGTCGGGGTCTTCTGACGTTTTTGTGGTGGCGTCGTACGTGCTGCTCGAGACTTTGGTCAGCCAACCCATCACTTCCTGCCAAGGAGGACAAATATTTTAAAATATGTTCATAAAAATGAGGCAATTCACGCGGTTCTTGGTAACATTGTAAAATTCGTAAAATTACAAATTTTTAAAAACTTTTGTGCAATTTTACAAATATCTCTGAGGAAAATGCTTACAAATTTTTGCAACTTTACTCAGATCAGATCAAGGGCGTCTTTTTATTTTTCAAAAGCTTGTAAAACGATTTTGCAAAACTTACGGATTTTATAAAGTTACAAAATACACCGTGAATTGATCTACGTAAATATCCATAGTTTTGAAGAGATTACGAAACAAAAATATTAAGCTGAGATTTCTATTAAGCTGGTATTCTTTGAAATCGTATTCAAAAATGATCTAATCAACTTGCAACATAAATTACTAAGAGGAATCTAATATTATCTAATGTTTGTTAATAATTGGGAAAATTTATCTAACACAATGTCGACGTCGAAGTCTTAGCAAAATTAAAAGTCGTCCAATTTCTGCAGGTTTACGAAACATATTTTGTAACCTGATTTCCCATAGTACGTATGGTCAAAGAATTAAGCATGTTTCTGAATAAGTGAATCATTGAAAAATGTGCTTAATTTTAATTCCTCTACCATAATCGTTGTTGTGGGTTGAAACTGAAAAAATAAAGAAAACTTTCAATCTCTCTCGACCGGGTTAGGTTATCTCTCGAGCAAAAATTGAGAACTTTCCCCAGAAACGGAAATAATTCATGACCCATTTTGTACCAGGTTTCTGCAATTTTTTCTTAGAAATTGTAAATCACCAATTTAATTAATGTGACATTTGCAAAAAACACTATTTGGCAATACTTACGTTTGGCAGAGATTTTCACATCCGAAGAGAAGAAAGTCCACAAAAAATTTGCAAAATCTAAAATTTTTAAATTTTAGGACTCGTTTTCTCCTCTTTAGATGCAAATACTTCCGCCAAACGTGCCCATTAGGAGATCCTTTTCAAATTTCATATTAAGCAAAATCGTGATAAATTAAGTCTAATTTTCTCAAAATCAGAGAGCGTACGCTGATGAGACCTGCATTGTTAGAAATATTACGGGGGGTGTAACAGATCTAACTTACTTGTTATCAACAAAACTAGATTTACATAAAACAGATATCGACGTCAAAGTGTTAATAAAATAAAAAGTCGTTCAATTTCTGCAACTTTGAAAAACATACCTTGCTAGGAAATGAAACCTCCATTACAAATATTACAAATATCAAGAGCAAGGAAACTAATCTAATAAACCGTGCAAAATAGCATATTATTATCAAATTATCTAATAAACTTGTTATAGAAAAATTTAGATTTATGTGGAAACAAATTAAAACGTCGTCTCAAATTTCTATTTACAAGTTTACGCAGCATATTTTGTGACCTGAATTTCCTTGCTAATCATTATCAAGGGTTCTAATTAAAAAATTCATTAAGTAGTCAAAATTGTTTTTATACAAATAATATATACAGGAATCGTTTACCATAATTTGGTTGGGTTTTTATTCAGATGTTCATTCATACCATTCATAAAGTTTTAAAATTTTGAAATTTTACGAAAATGTTTCAAGCTGAAGAACCTGTCAAGCAATCCATGATAACATTGTAAAATCCATAAATTCTGTAAACTTACAAATTTTTGCAAAGTTTGACAAATATAACATGGCACTCGTGCTTCTCGAAATACGGATTAATTTGAGATTACGTGAACAATTGAAATTATTAAGTAATTTCCTTCTCTTCGAGATTTTGTAATCTGTCAGAATTTGAATGTATCAATTTTGGGGTCAGATTTTTACCCCTTCGTGTAAAACACTTGAATACATAACCTGGTAAAAAAATTTTCACCAAGACTGGTCATTGGATATTATCCCTCTGCATAATACTTTCTGAACAGATCAAAACTTTTTGGGAATTAAACTTTTTGTAAATGGCAAAATATCATTAATCAAAATAATTAAATTTTAACGGCAGGACAATTGGCTATACAATTTGTCTTACGGTTGGACAAATTTTACACAATTGCCAATTGCAAATTGAGACAACAATTAATTGTTGTCTCAACCTTGGGTAAATTTTGACAATTTGACTCATTTTTATAAAAAATGCTACCAATAAAATACAATTTGAAAAAATAATAATCCACAAGCTAAAATACTCCATTTTCAAAGCCTTGTTTGACATATCTGTTCAAAATTATACTAAAACATCAAAAAGTTGCCACACTCGAGAAATGTATCTTTTACACCATTATAATTTAATTATACAAATAAAACTACAAACGGCTTTTAACTTTGCAAAATTTCTTAATAAATTCGTCTTCTTATTTTACGAGGGATGCGAAATAGTAGTTCATACCGACTCAAATATGGAGATAAAAATTTATGGATTTCATAAGTAGAGAAAGTGGTGAAAGTAACAAGTACGCTGTTTAAAATCTATACAATTTATTGTTAGACAGACACCTAATTTTTCTCGGTCAACCCAAAAATTAATTAACTTTTGTGACATAAAATTTGTACAGTTTACAAAGCTAACGTGATGGATTTCACGAGGTTTGTAATGTTGCCAATACAATATTATACGTACGCTCCAGATTTTGAGTAGCAGCGAGCTCATCGAGTTATCCTAGTAAACTGTAATTTTTATTTTAAACGCTACACGTTTTCACGATATCTGAAAATAATGTGGAGAATCTTAGGTTATAAAGATTACAAAGTATTCCTTTGTACGTTGATTAGGTCAAAGTCTGCTTTAAAATTAGCAAAATCTACCAATTAACTCGTATTTGTAAAGCGAATTCGAATACTCTTAGAAAACTGTGAATAAATCATTACGCACCGGAGTGCATCTACCGGTACTGGTAATAACGGGCATTACCGTTCAGTAATTTTGTGGTAATAACAAATTTACCACTGAGAAACAAACTACTTCCAATCTTGTAGGAACTTATTACCAAATGAATACCAGTACGTAGCATATACGTGACTTTATACCATATTTTTAACAGTCTAATAAATAACAGAACAAGAAGGAGGCCCCACTAAAGTAGAGTTTCGACAGTGCAAATATTCATAAAATCGTCAAAATGGCGTACAAATCCGACAAAAAATTTGCATTCTTCAATGTGCAATTTAATTACAAACAAATCATCCAGAAAGTACACTAAAAATAAGTTGGCAACAAAATCGTAACCACGCCTACTAGCTATAAGGTACTTGTACGTCGGTAAAGATTTGTCACCATAAGATTGATTACGATAATTTCCGACAGATTCAAAATTTTTGCCACGTTTTAATCAGTTTCTAACAGGAATGTATCCAATTTAGTTTGACCGAAATTATTGTTACTTTTCGGTAGTTAATCGTTACCAGCTTGGTATAGTTTCATGGTGGTGAATATACGCATACAGTGACGATTTTGCTACCAAGATACCAACTGGAGGACTGTGTCGAAACGAATCTAAGATTGTTAACAATTGTAATTAATATATCCAAATTCGAGAAGACGGCGTGCAAATCTCGACAAAATGGTTATTTCCCAATTTTCTAATTAATTCCTCAAATTTCACCCGAAATTAAAATCACGCCGTAATTTAAATGAAACTCCTATGTCGACGAATGAGTAATTTCACGTCCCCCATCGAAAGTCCGTAACTTCGTAAACTTACAGAGATAAGATTACGAACCAAACCCATGCCTCGTATGTTCGTAAGGTTTTGTAACTTCGTAATCAAATATTGTCTTCGAGATGTTCCCAAGTTTTGTCAAAAGTTCGAAAGTTTCGTAACTTTACGGGGTTACGAAGGTTGACGCGAAATGTGTAACATTAATATTCCTCGAAATCAAAATTCAACACGTTTTTATCTAATTTAAAATTATTACTTTCATTATCCTTAAGCGACGTTATCCAATCCGTTAAAATTTGTGTATCGATGTTAAACCTTCATTTAACAAAAGGCAAATTACTACTTTCTAATAAACTCGTCACTAAATGTGCACTTCATACATTTTATGAGTTTGCACATTTGGAAAGAATAATTTCGTCGGCAAACTAAAATATTTTTGCAAACTTTGCAAATTTTACGAAATTAAGAAATATTTATGTAGATCGTAATTTTGAGAGGGAAATCCCAAGGTCAGAATTTGATTATCTGAACTTTTCTACTTACTTGGAATATATAATATTTTCCTAAATGGCGTTAAAACCTGAAAATTTTGTCAATTTGCGACTTAATAATTGGTTACGAGTGCATGGTACGGAAGCCGGCCAAAACCTAAACTATTTGCTTGAATTATTTAAAAATTTGTAAATATACAAAAATTGTTCAGGTGACAATTTTGCGCTAAATTTGAGAAATTTGGAATTGTGCCATTTAAACGTAGGAATGATAAGTTTTTTAAAAACATAAATGACCGCAAGTATAGCTTCCGAATTTGCCCCATAAAATGGCCATATTTTTATTTATATTTCAAAGTTACAATTAAAATAATAATTTGAAGTCGTAGAAAGGTTTTACAAATTACGGATTTAGAGTTAATAAATTTATTAAAATGTACTATTTAAACGATTTTATCAAAGATTTTACAGAATTGAATTACTTTTGAGTACTGTAAGAATTTTAGAAAAGCGTAAAAAAATTTGCAAGCAGTGATTTGTGGTAAATTTTTGCAATATAACAAGTAACAGGTATAGCAAGTTTTTCGAAATGTAAAGGAAAATAATATTGATTGAATCTCTTTGGTTGTGGTTGCTGTTTATTAGTTCTCAAATCGAAGTTCGAAATAAATTGGTCCATGGTCTACTTATGAAATTTACACGTTTTAATTATTCTTGGAATCTCGGAAACTGAATTAACAACGCTTAAGTCATAATAACTATAATTCAAAGTCGGGAAAAGATTCTAAAAAATAATTACATATATTGTGGAATTACCAAATCTTGTAAAGTGTAAGATTTAAACGACTTTGCTCATTTTTTGCATAATCAAGTTAAATGACAGTAAGTAAGATTGTAACTCATATACTGAGCAAGGGTTAACCTGATCTGCAAAGATTTCACAAAATCAGATTTTGCAAATTTGAAACATTGCACAAAACTTTGTTCAGAAAACGATAAGTTTTTTTTGTAAATTTACCCAGAAAGTGGGAATGTTTTTATTTCTCAGGATTATATGAGTATTTCGAAAATCATTTATTTGCTACACAAATAATAAATACATGATTTAAATGACTTTGTCAATGTCAATTTGTTGCAGAACCAGACATATTTCTCAAGAATAATTAAGACTCCATTTCAATTTACTCTACATGAAAATCTTTCAAATGTCAACATAACTCGGAAGTTCGAAGCATTGTGCCAAAATCTTTACTTCAAAAGGTTCAAATTTTTCCCTAATGTTTCCGAGAAAATCGGAATGTTTTTATTTACCATGACAATCTTATGTTAAATTTTAATGAATTTAACGCTAGAACCATAAATTTTAAAAAGTATTAGGATGAAAAGTTAAAAAGATGCATAAGTCTTTCTAAAAGGATTTTGATTCACAAATTTTCCCCAGCAACGTTTTTGTTTATCAAATATTTCGGAAACTAAAATTATAATAAATTAAAGTGGTGGAAAGGTTCTAAAAATTAATTACGGATGTGTAGTTACAAAATTTGATAAAATGCAGGGCTTAAACGCCTTTGTCAGTCTTTATTGCATAATCGAATTCTAAGAGTAGTGAGTAGTACAGATTCAAGGTCTAGTATTTCTTGTGGATAATAATTTTTTTTGATGAAAACGGCATTTTGTTATTTCGCTTTATTCATAACTACATAATTTATGTTTTTTTAATTTTAAATATAAATTATGTACAGCGATCACTATTTAGCTTGCTAAAAAAGCTGGGGGAAGGTATTAAAAAAGTTCGAAAAATGTGCAAGTCACAGTTTTGTGTCAGGTTTTACCAGAGTTAAAATTGCATTATTTAAATATTATTTTTAATATTAAAAACAAATATTAAAAACAAATATTAAAAAGATTAAAAAATAGTTACAGGTAAACAAAGTTCAAAGTTTATGTTAAATAGGACCATGGCCGTATTTTGGGAAATTAGTGCTACCGCATTAGTATCGGTCCAGCGATAACACAAAATGGTGCTAAACAATTGGGAGAATTAAATGAAATATGCGCCAAAAGTGCAAAATAACCGGAAGAAAAATTCGCCCACCCGAGTGGTCGAAAAAGTCGAAATTGTGTCAAATTTAGGCATCTATTTCCCCGTTTATTTTCTATCACTGGTGTAAAATTACATCAAAAGTATGCATTTTCGTCATTTATTAACCACCATTGGTGCATAATTGTATAACAATTATCGATCTACTTTATTGGAATACTCTGCACCTTTTTGGTGCAAAGTTATAACCAAGTAAGTATGTATGTATTACAGGCTGAGCTACTTCTAACGTTACTACGGTTTATTGAATTTTCTATTAAATTCTCAAAAAGCCATCCAAAAAGTATGCCTCGCTCGAAAATTAGGAAATATGTAACAACCTAACGAATTGATTTGAGATTACGTGAACAATTGAAATTATTAAGTAAGTTCATTCTCTTCGAGAATTTTTTAATCTGTCAGAATTTGAGTGTATTAATTTTAGAGCCAGATTTTTACCCCTTCGTGTAAAACACTTAAATAACCTGGTAACAAAATTTTCACCAAGACTGGTCATATTGCATATTATTCTTTTGCATAATAATTTCCGAACGGATAAAAAGATTTCGGTAATTACAGTTTGTAAATGACATCCCAGCAAACTCTCCTAATTAAAAATTTAAAGATTTTAACCGTGCGACAATTAGGTACAATTTGTCAAAATTTAAAAATTTTACATAGTCATCTTATTCAACCTTGGCTAAATTTTGCACAATTTTATTCATTTTTTTATAACAACAAATATTACAAATAAAGCAATAACAAAAAATAATAATCCACAAACTAGATAAAATACTCCATCTTCAAAACTTTTTTTTTTACATCTATTCAAAATTAGGTCAAAAAACTTCTACACTAAAGCAATGTATCTTTTGCACAATCTAAATTAATTACATCAAATAAAACTGCAAACGGCTTTGAACTTCGCAAACTTTCTTAATAAAGTTGTCCTCCTGTTTTATCAGGGATATGAAATAACGTTTCATACCGACAAATTCCCAAATAAGGTGATAAAAATTTATGGATTTCATTTCATAAGTGGAGAAAGTGGTGAAAGTAACAAATATACTGTTAATAAAAACGTATACAATTTATTATTAGACAGACACCAGATTTGTCCCAGTCAACCCAGAAAGTAGTAAACTTTTGTAGCACATAAAATTTGCACAGTTAACAAAGCTGACTGGATGAGACTTATGGATTTCATTATGTTTGTAATGCTACCAATGCAATATTATTCGTATGCTCCAGATTTTTAGTAGCAGCGAGCTCATAGCTTTGTAAAGTGTTAAATTTTTATTTAAACGCTGCACGTTTTCACGATATCTGAAAATAATGTGAAGAATCTTAGGTTATGAAGATTACAAATTATTCCTTGGCACGTTTATCGGGTCAAACTCCACAACAAAATCTAGTAATTAACTAATATTTGTAAAGCGAGTTGGAATACTCTTAGAAAACTGGTAATAAATCACTGACCGTAGTACATATCTGTATCATACCTGTTCAAAAATTCACTTTTCATTCAAAAGTCAGTCATCCTGACTGACTTCCCGATTCCTGACTGAAGATTTTCATTCAAATTCATTTCATTTCACTTCATCCGACTTCATTTCTTATTTCGCCCCATGTATTAAGCATATGGTGAAAAATGTAAAGAGTGAAAAATCCTTTCATTCACAGTCATTCATCTGAAATGACGGAAACTTTTATTCATTTTATTCAAAATATAGGAAATTCATTTTCACTCACTATTCATTCTTTATCATAATTAGTCAAATGAATGAAAGTGAACCGGTATTATAATGTAACTACGATGTTTTTAAGTCACGAGAGAAATCGACCTGAACAAGATTTTGTACCGCAAATATTTGTAACTTCATCAAAATGACGTACAAATCAGGCAGAATTTGCAATTTGAAATTTAATTACCAACAAATCATCCAAAAAGTACAGTACTTAAAAATAAGTTGGCAACAAAATCGTCACCATGTGTATAATGTACTGGCACGTTGGTAAAGATTTGTTACCGAAGGTAAGATAATAATTTCCGTGAGATTCAAAATTTTTGTAATAAGTTTCTAAGAGGAATGTATCCAATTTAGTTTGGCCGAAACTGTTATTACTTTTCGACGGGAAATCTTTACCAAATTGGTATAATCTCATGGTGGTAAGTTACATGCGGTGACGATTTTGCTACCAAGCCAATTAATTCTAACACCAATGTGCACACCTGCGGGAAGAAATCTGACATTACGAACAATTATAAATAATATATCCAAATTCAAAAAATGGCGTGAAAATCTCGACAAAATTGGACAAAATTGTATTTATCAATTTTCTAATTAATTTCTCAAACTCGACCCGAAATTAAAATCACGCCTAAATTCAAGTAAAATATATACCTACGTAAACTAATGAGTAATTTCACGTCAGCCTTCGTAAGTCCGTAATAAATAACCTCGTAAACTTACGAAGATCAGCTTGCGAACCATAAACATGCCTTTTATTTTCGTAAGGTTTTGTAAGTTCGGAAGCAAAAATTATCTACGAGATGCTCCAAAGTTTCGTCAAAAGTTCGAAAGTTTGGTAAGTTTACGAAGTTACGAAGTTTGACGCGAAATGTTTCATATGTGTAACATTAATATTCCTCGAAATGAAACTTCAATGAGATTTTTTACCTAATTTAAGATTATTAATTTTATTATCATTAAGCTACGTAATCCAATCCGTTACAATTTATGTATAGATGTTAAAGCTTCATTCAACAAGAGTCAAATAATTTTGTAATAAAATCGTCACTAAAAATGCACTCAATACATATGTACATTTTATGAGTTTGCACATTTGAAAAGAATATGTTTTAGCGCAAACTAAAATACATAAGTCTGTAAACTTTGCAAATTTTACGAGATTAAAGAAATATGTAGACCGTAATTTGGAACAAATACTAGGGTAAAAAATAAAAGATATAAATCTGAATGTTTCTACGAACTTCAAAAATTTAAATTTTTGCCTAAGTGGCGTTAAAACTTGAAAATTTTGTCAATTTGCGACGTAATATTTGCTCAAAATCATACTAAATTTTCAGCTTGTGAGAGTGACCGGATTGATATTTTTTTATTTTTTACTGGTCTAACAATTTTTTGATACCGGTTATTAATAATTTGGTATCGGATTGGCAACAGTGCGTTATCTATTCGGTATTAAAAAGAATATGGGAATGTCCTTAATCTGGCTTTGGTAGTACAAGTTCGTAAGGAAATTTTATAAAATCAATACTGGTTACAAAAATCTGAGTGAATAGTGAAACTTGAAAATAAAATCGCTAATTTTAAAAACTCAAATTTCTTGATTCCTATGCATGTTTTTCTTTACTAAACCGTAAGTATTTATGTAATCAGTTTTTCGATAAACAGTAAATAAGAATAAAATCCGAGGTTTGTCACGTACCTCAGAATTTTTTCCTATAATTACATATACAATCAATAACTACAAATATATCACAATTTATCTAAATAGGGTTCAAATCCGACAAAACAAAATCCGATAAATCCGACAAAACTAGCATTATTCGAAAACCAATCCAGAAATTATGCCAAGCTCGAAAATTATCATACATTTATAGTTTATTGACAAGTTTATATAGAAATTTCAAAAAAATTGCGAAACTTACAAAAATGAATTGTGAAGTTGAAAATGAAATTCACTATTTTAAGGTATTCAAGATATCGGCTTGATTTCAGCTCTTGTGTTTTGTTCTGGGGATGTAATTTAAGTCCGGTGCACAAAGTGGTCTCCTTTTTCACAGTTCTTTTATTTTCATAAGTTTATGCACACAAACTACCTTGGACTACTTAAGACTAGGGGAACTATTCTCTATTCTCCTTCTCCGATCCGACTGACTCTTTTTCTCTTCTTTTTCCGTCTCCCTTTTCCGTGTATTTTTAGCCATGCGAGATTCTGGCATGGGAAATCATGCCCGAATCTCGCATAACAGTTTTTTTACTATTTGGCCCTTGAGGACTTTATTGGAATGATATTTTTTTGCGACTTTAAAAAAATATCTTAAGCCTTTTTTAAGAAGCAAACAAGGAAAAAAATCACAGCTTTGTACAGAATGCACGCTGCGGCGACCTTATGGGCCAGATTTTAGAAATTCCCCGAATCTTTTTCTGCAAATATTTTTACAATGAGCTGAGATTGTAGGTCAATGTATGTGTAGTTTACATTCCAAATTTGGAAGCATTTGGTCTACCACAACGCCGGGCGCAGTATGGCGACACTTGCAAAACCCCCCATTTCAGCCCTTTTCAACCGTTTATAACTTTGCTTGGGGGATCGATGGAGCTTAGCTGTTTGCCGGATCACATGACACACATTCTCGAGAATCATCTCCTACTAAAACCGTAGACCCGCTTTCGCCAATTTCGAAATTATAAGCTTTTACATTTCGACATAATTCAACAATTTCGACATTGTCGCATAAGTATATGTCAATGTAAACTACACATACATTGACCTACAATCTCAGCCCCATTTTAATGTCGAAGGTCAACCGGGGGGCCACTTCGCCCCCCAGGGGGTGTGGCTTAGCAAAATTTCAGTGACGGCCGTTCCAACCCTCAAGATGAGGGAATATGTAAAAATATTTGCAGAAAAAGATTCGAGGAATTTCTAAAATCTGGCCCATACGGTCGCCGCAGCGTGGAATGCTACAAAGCTCAGATTTTTTTCCTAAATACAAAACTCTGCAAATATCTCGCAATTTATTTAAATGGCGTTCAAATCCAACAAAATCGTCGTAATTAAATTTTTGGTTTAATTCCTCAAAAATCAACCCAAAAATTATGTCTCGCTTGAAAACTGAAGGAAATATATAACATGACATGACACTCGTGCTTCTCGATATAGAAATTACGTTGAAATTACGCGAATAATTGAAATCATGAATTTCATTAATTGTTCCCACTGCGAAATTATTTAATCTGTCAGAATCAACTTTACCTCTAATAAAATTTTTACCTATTCATCTAAAAACCTGGTTCCAAAATTGTTACCAAGTCCAAAATTTGAAAAAATTAAAAATTATATTATCGCTGAAAACTCTTTATGCAGATTGCTGACTAATATGTAAGTTCAACCTTTTTCGCGGTTAATTTATTATGTAGATTTAAAATGTAAATTATTATTTTTTTATTCCGTTAATAAGTAAACCGTGAAAAAAATATGATAAATTTTCAGAAATGAATGACCAAACTTTCCAAATTTTTACCAAAAAACAATGACAAACGCCAGAGAAAAGTGGATAAGTAAAACCTAGAAGACTCAACTCCATAAGGATCCTTAAGCCACATTGAGAGCCAATAACAGACGACGGCGAGGTTTTCAGACTTTTTCTCCATAACCTCTCAGTTTTTTCAGCTTCTTAAACAATCACAAATATACATTTGTTTTGATTTTGGCGTGTAAACTGTACAATTTACTGTATTTTTGACAAAGTCGCACTCCGAAAATTAAAAAACTATATAGGTAATAATATTTAATTTAAAAAATTTCCTAATTGGCTGGCGATGAGTGGGAGGGGTCGAAAACCACGCCGTCCTCTGGTATTGGTTCTGGCTGTTCAACATGGCTTATGCATTCTTAATACACTGCACCTTCTTTATGAATGTATGTTCAATGGACAAACGCATCTGGATTTAAAATTTTAGGTAAGGAGTTTTCTGACTTTTTTTTATTTGGCGTAAAAACTTGGCACATTTCTCTTTATACAAGTTTCAACTAATTGCTCAGAAATTATATTTAGATTGAAAGCACAGAATATAGATTCTACCAGAAGAATCGATCTTATGTATTCGAGTGACGCTTATGGAAGAACGGGGAGAGCCAACCAAATAACTCGGTGTACATTTGGCCCACCTCGGGGAGGCACCTCCGCATCATCATCATCACCACCACATCTGGCATCAAAAAATGAGGATGAAAGCACATAGGTGGCGGTGGCACCCCCATTTGTGCACCAGAACACACCATTCTGAGCTGCGTCTCCACGAATTTGATGCTCTACGAGGGTGCACAAATGGGGGTGCGACCGCCACCTATGTGCTTTCATCATCATTTTTTGATGCGAGGAGATGTGGTGATGATGATGATGCGGAGGTGCCATCCCCCAGGTGGGCCAAATGTACACCGAGTTATTTGGTTGGCTCTCCCCGTTCTTCCATAAGCGTCACTCGAATACATAAGATCGATTCTTCTGGTAGAATCTATATTCTGTGGATTGAAAATTAAAGCAATATATGGAAATTACATTGGTCGATTTTTTTATATAATTTGTGCTAATTATGGAATTTATGTAATGTGAGACAAATGTTTCAATCACACAGGTTTTATACAAATTTTTATCGAGGAAAAATTGGCTTTTTCCTCCGTACAGGTTCATGAATTACAAAATGAGTTTTTATTGTAGAAAAGTTTACGCAATCTTTATTTTACAGGTTTTCGAAAACTGGAACATGTTTATGTAATATGTAGGAAACATTTTGGTCTCATTATTCAAAATTTTCCAAATAATGAGGTAAAAAAGGTTGACAATATCGCAGTTAGATTTATTTTACAACTTTGACACCGGAAATCGTATTTGTGAATTTTTAGAAACGAAAAAACTTAATAGATGGGTAAAGCCTTAAAAAAATTTTCACACGATAATTTTTACCCATTTGGGAACAATTTTTCGTCCAAGGCAAATTTTGAGGGAACTATTATCGGCGAAAATTCTTTAAATAGAATGCTGATAATACAGATCGTGGTGGAAATTTATAATTTACAAGGGAACCTTTTTCTAGCTATACCAGGATTTTGTGCCCATACCTGTTCAAAAAGCTTTTTTCATTCGAAGTTCAGTCATCCCGATTTCTGACTGAAAGATTTTCATTCACATTCAGTCATTTTCTTTCAAATTCAATTCATTTCACTTCATCGGACTTCATTTTTTACTCGCCCCATGTATAAAGCATAGGGTGAAAAATTAAAGGAGTGAGAAATCCTTTCATTCACAATCACTCATCTGAAATGACTGAATCTTTCATTCATTTTCATTCAAATGACGGGAAATTCATTTTCATTCACTATCATTCTCTATCATAATCAGTCACATGAATGAAATTGAACACGTATGTTTGTACCGAGTTATGTCAAAAAATCAAGCCAAAAATTAGGAATCACATGACACCTATCTTCCCGTGGCATGGCCCCTTCGAAGAAAAATATTGGCGAGAAATTTCAATTTTCGAGTAAATTTTCTCTCGCTATTTCCTCCACGGGGCGAAAACTGAATGAATTTTGCCCCCAATATTTTTGTTCAAAGGGACCATTCAACGGAAATATTAGTGTCATGCAATTCCTAATTTTTGGTTTGATTTTTTGACACAACTCGCTAGAAAATCCCAGTGTAGATAGAAAAAGGGTTCCATTGTAAGTAAATTACAAGTTTACAATGAAATTTTATCAAATTCAGACATATATATCTACAAGTTACGAAAATACGAGTGAATTGATTCTTTATACGGAGAGATAATTTTACCAAGATCGGTGTAAATTGAGTGCGTATTTATTACCATAAATTTAAAGTATGCCTTGATTGTTTATATTTTGTTAGTTGCTTTATAATTAAAGCATAAAAAATATAACTAATTTCTAAACAATAATATCCGAACTTTACAAATTAACACCCACAACAGAAGTCCTTAAATCTAGAATTAAATTTTGGGTAAAAAGTATATGGATTTTTTTCTAATTTGGCGTAGAAGGCTAGCACAGGCTTTATACAATTTTCAACCTTTTCAACATATCTACATTTAAGAATTTAATGAAATTCTAGAACTACATCTTTAATTAAAATTGGTGAGAGGAGTATATGGATTTTTTTAAATCTGGCGTAAACCTGACACACTTTGCCTTTACACAATGTTCAAAGAATACATAATTGCTCAAAAATCATCCAGAAGTTACATTTAGACTGAAAATTAAAGTAAAAGTGGGAATTACATTCCTCGAAATTTTCTTTCATATTATTTGAAATTTTGCATATAATTTCTGGATAAGTGTGGAATTCATGAAATTTGAGAAAAGTTTTTTTTTCAATCTGTCACAAGTCTATACCAATTTTAAGTTACCTGCGTTTAACAAGGCTAAAATATGTAACGTTGTAGCAAAAATTTTAAAACTCATCAAGTATCTGGCCACATATATTTGCACATATCGTGGACATTTATAGTTTATTTATAAATTTTTAAAGAAATTTTATAAAATTTGCACAACTCATAAAAAAACGCGAGTGAATTTAAAAATAAAACTCACAAATTTGAGTTATTCAGATTAAGTACTACCTATAGATTTCAACTCTTGTATTTTTTACGAAAAAGGTCTCGATGTCATCATTGCCATGATATTTTTTAGGATTTTTGTTAAAAGCATTTATATCTTAAGCATTGATACATATAAGGATTTTTTGGAAAAAAATAGACAAAGGAAAAAAATCCGACCATTGTAACGATCGCTACAAACCTCAGACTTTTTCCTTTTTACAAACACTAGATACAAATATATCACAATTTGTCTAAATGGCGTTAAAATCAGACAAACTGGCATTTTCATTTAAATGACAAGAATTTCATTTTCATTCACTATCCTAATAAGTAAAATGAAAGAACAGGTATGCAAATAAGGAATAAGATGCAAAGTTAAAGTTTTAGCCGCTCCATTTTCGTACATTCTCAACATGTAATTCAAAAATCAAGAGATTAGAAGATTTTATTGCATTTTCTCGCCATTTTCTTGAGAAGCTTACACCTTTATTAAACGACCGTCAAGTAACACGG